GGTATGATAGCATTGGCATCGCATCCTATGATGAGTTGGAGGTTAGCCCTTGCCGCATATAAGACTATTTTGCCTATTATATGTGGGGGGACATAGCTCCTCGCCTGGGAAATATGCAGAACAGATTAGCCATCTTTCTGTTGCTTTCTCTGTCGGCGTAGTTAGGAGAGCTGTAACAATATCAGCGGTACACAGCATCGGTATTAGTACACAATTTACCCTATTGTTATATAAGATACATGCTCGTGGTCTTTTAGACATTTTGTTATACAAAATCTTACCTTGGTTGGGTTTTAGGCCTACTACCCTCCCGCCATGTAACCAGGGTTCTTGCAGTGGATCAAATCTAGACCCTCCTTGTCGAACATCCTACATATTGTAGCTGTGGCCGCCTTGGCATGATGGAGGTTCACCTGAAGAACCCTGATCGATCTACTGAGTTCTATGAACTGGGCAGTTTGTCTGCCTTCTTAGAGGCCTCTCCAATTTCTATAGGTACAGTCACCTTTTGGGCTTCTTGCCTCTTGAGGAGACTGACCCCACCGTAGGAAAACTCCACCTCGTCTTCCTATACCAAGGTTTCTTCCTCTGAAGAGGACTCTTTAATGTCCTCTTCCCTGCTGTGGGAAGACTTCACCTCGTCGTCCTCTGTCAAGGTTTCTTCCTCTGTAGATAACTTTTTAGTTTCCTCTTCCCTGCTTGTGTCTGGGTTATTCACCTTTTCGGCGGGTTTTTGGTCATGTCCTCTTTTGACCCTGAATTTAAGTCTCCCTAGGTCATAGTGGGGGGACATGTCCAGCTTGTTTAGCTCTTCTAGAATTCAGGATCCATCGAAAACGCCCACGTTTGACCTTTTGATGATGGGATTTTACCCCACACCGTCCAAAGGTGTGTATTTAGCCCATGGTTGGCTATTTTTAGCCTTTTGAGGATTTTATCCCCTTCGGGTAATATCTCGGAAAGGGGTGGGCTGAGGAAATTTTGTTATAGGAAAGACCCATCTTAATTTCATACGAGCAATCACCTCCTGAATTTTGTCGAATGAATTTAAAAACACCCTGTACATTAAATATTTTCTTCGACTTTAATTATTTGAATAAAATACATTAAGTATTTTCGCTGCACTGTAAACATGCTACACTACAGTATAAGCCACTTTTCCACAAGCAGCTACACATCCCTTTTTACAATTACAAAATAATATTTGCAATAGATTATCCGGAGCTTACGAAGCATATGCCCATATAATGGCTGACATTCTACTTCATTCAACACCACAAAAAAAAAGTTCTAGAGAAGAAATTACAAACTCATCTTAGTATTAACATGAATATCAGAGCTAGCAAAACTTCGAAGAATCCAATAATACCATAGCCATTTAAAAGACACCTTGTTTTGGCCTAAAGAAAAAACAAAAAAAGGAGAAAAAGGAAAAAATACTTTCAGTTATAACTTTAAAACCATGGCAGGAATGCAACAGAAAAGAGGTGCTAGAAATGGTACGAAAGAAAAGGAAAAAGCTCAACAGAAATAAGAGAAAGTAAAAATAAATTACATGGAAATAAAAATAAAAATCTGAAGAAACTAGAATTAGATAAGTGTGAAATATGCAGAATCAGATTATTCAACCTGTAATATTAAAAGAGATAAAGAAGGAGTCCAAGAAATAGAAAAATTGAAGCATCTAAAGCACTTTAATGAACTGAAAAATGGCTATTTTATATTGGTTAATTTTGAAAGAGGCAAACGAAATGCTTAGAAGTTTACATATGTATGTAATTTAAAGGAGATCGTTGGGGCGTCATTAGTATTATGGCTTTAAACTGTATTGACACAAGCAAGGATACATTCATTGCAAATGAAAATGATTTTTCAATAGTTTCTTTTGGTCAGATTTTGAGAATACTAGAAAAAAGGTCTGTAATAAGTGTTCTTGAAAAATAAATACCATTATATATGTTTATACTCTCTACATAGACCATGTAAAATAAGAATATGTTTGAAAAACAATGTATTTTTCCCTCTTTGTTTAATTATTGTCATACACTGGTACCATTTCCTCCAATGTCAGCTATTAGAACATTTTACATGTCAGGCAGTGGTTCTTATATGCAGTGGCGGCTCGTGGGCACTAGCAGCAGTGGGGCACACACTGGAAAGGAATCCTGCGATTCGTTTTTCCCTTAGGAAAATTAAATAAATTTCAAAACAAATTAAATATTACAAAATTGAAGACTAACTGCTAGGTACCGCTGCAGTTGTACACTATTTCTTATAGTTAAAGTCCATTCTTCTGGATTTTTGACCAGCGAAGTGATTGATGACCAGATTATTAAAATTTGGAATGGACCGAATAAGTTTTTTTTGGACGGATAACATGGCTAACGCGCACAATCTATCTTGGCACATAGTGCTCCATAAAAATGTTTTAATACGTTTTAGTATCAAAAAACATCTTTCACTCTCCACTGTGGTCATGAAAATTGTACACAGGATAGTTAGCAGCTCCACAGATTCCGAAAATGTAATTGTGAAATTGTTCTCAAAAAACATTTGTAATAACGGTACGGCCCCATTGTGTTGCACAAAGTCACCTCGGGTGTAAAGTATGGACAGTTAGTTTTTGAATTTTCAGCTGTTTTCGTTTGGAAGTAAACTACACACAGTTTTAACGTCCTCGTTTGGAAAAGAACCTCAGTAGTCTTTAAATTTTTTACTATCAAATAAACTTGCAATTGTTAGATGGGTAGTAAAACTAAAACGTTCATTTACCTGCACTACTATTGTATCACAAATTTCCTTACATATCCTTAAATTAGGAATGGGGTCCTCCTTTTCAACAAACCGTCTCTTTTTGCTTGTACTTGGACCTGATGGGGTGTTGTCGTTTAAGTTTAGTTTTTGCGGGTCTTGTTGTGGTTGCCATTCTCCATGAATTAGCGTGTCTATATTATTTATAATATTTTGAGTAGCTGCTGCAATATTTGATATGTTTATTTTAACCTTCAGAGCATCGAGCTGTCTACTCTGCAGTTGATCAAAAAGTAAATCGCAATTTGACATTATTTTGCTGAAGAAAAATAACCAGAAACTAAAATATGTCTTTCAAAATTTATCAACCCTTTATTCTGATTAATAGTTTTTTATCGAATTCTATGTTCATAATTTCTTCGAGACATTTAATCAAATCCTCTTTATAAACATAAATAGTGTTGACACACTTCGATGTAAAATTCCATTTTAAAGCATACGACTCTGTAGAAAAGGTATCTGGCAATTTAAAAACTCCCAGCGAAAAATTTCTCTTTTATATTTTCAAATTAGAAAAAATATGTATATCTCTATTTGATAGTTTGTCAACTAAGCCTGGAATTTCCAACGCATACCTGTTTGAGATGAGCAAAATAGAATTTGGTCATCCTTACCAACAATTTGCGAAAATGTACACCATTAAATTATTTATAAGACTCAGAATTTTTTATACTCTTAAATATGCAAACAGAGATATGAAATCCTCGAAAAAGTCAGACAAAACCAAAAGAAAAATTAAAATTTTGTCCCATTTATAAATATTATTGATTTTTTTTTCATCATATTTTTAACTGCTTTATATAAAAAAAGTTATTTTCCTTTGTAGTTTTATTTCTTAACTATTCCAATGGGCCAACCAACGTTTTTTCGTAATCACAATAAATAAATTATTATCATGATCCAACAAACGCGCACCTTAAGCCGAAACCGGCATCGCCTTTGTGATGGAGCCGGTAAAGATGCCGCTGCGTAGATTCGTATCTATTCTAGGTAATCTGTGTTATGGGTACAGCACGTCACGATCAGGACAGCGCCCCGCTTGTGACGTATAATCCATCGCATGTGTTCATATCTTGCTAAGCGATATTGTCGTTGTCCTTGTTTTTCGCACATTTACTGTGGCCTGTGCCCATCTTCGACTTAATTTCGGAATTCTCGGAACGTCGCTCAACGATTGGTCGTCCAGTGTCGTGCCAACGCGGTTTGCGCTGAATATTAGATTAAATAATAATAGGCATTGAGAAAAAAATATAAAATATGTAAGTTATTTTTTTTTGTTTATTATACTAGGGCACGTGCCCAAGTGCCCTTACGGGCAAACCGCCACTGCTTATATGTCTTATAGAGTTACATAGTTGTATTAGAAAAAAATTGTTATTTTTAAAAAAATATTTAGAATAACTAAATAGAACCAAGTGCATCCAATAGCTGAATGTATGAGTGATCATTTGTTTTTTAGAATACTTTTTTAACGTTTTTTTAAGCAAATTATTTTCATTTTAGTAAAATTACATCCTTATAATGTTATCGACTGGTGCACTTCTTACTAAAATAATGTTTTTATATTTTTTTGTTCAAATAATTAAAAAATCAAAATCATAAAGAAAAATTTGTAAATTTATTAACTCAAGCAAAAGTCAAAACCCCCAGGCTCTTCACTACATGGTCCAATCATATATTTAAAAAATAATATTGATTACTGATCCACTTTATTGATCAACATTATTGATCAACATTTAAAAACTTACCAGAAATCACTGTCATTTAGATTATAAATTTAACCTTATATCAAATTTTATGCGACTCCTGTTGCTAGGTGTAGCTAAGGGGATTATTGATTAGAGAATGATCGATGATGCCAGAGGGTCAACAAATTTTGTTCTTAAAATATTAAGAAAATTATTATAATTTTTGCATATTAAATATAAATGGCTTGTTATGAAACAAGTTAGTGCCTAATAATAAAAACAAGCAAAAACTTTTATGAAAAATAAAATTTTCTTTAAAAGTTGAAAATAAAAAAGTTTGTCCTATTTTTAATTTCATTATGGGACACCCTGCATTTATTAAAATAAACTGTCACTGTGGTGTAATATATGTACTGGTAAGGTTGCCAAGCGTCCTTCTTTTGAAACACTTTACTGATTGTTTTTATTTTGAGACGTAATCCAGTTTTTTTTATTTTTTAGAATGGTATTTTAAGTGCCTTGCCATATTTTTCTGGAGCAGTATTGATCTATCTGTTTGGATATATATCAGATAGGATAATAGAGAGCAGAATTCTCAGTGTGGGCGGAACAAGAAAACTATTTGTCGCAGTTGGTAAGAAAAAGTGAACATTATAAAATTTATATTTTTATCATTTTAATCAAAAACATATAAATAAAATATGAACCAGAAATATTTAGGTAGATAGGTAGGTATATAATCTGTATATAATACTAGTTTGTGTAACAAGAGTCGATATGATGTCCATACCGCGCGAAGAAGAAGTTTAAGTGCGATGTGGACAATCCACTCGAATTGTTCAGTATATTTTTTTTACGACCCACTAACGAAAATCTGAAAATTTTAAAAATTATGTTAGGCTATTAAGATAAAATAACTAATTTAAAAATAATTTACGACTTTTACTAATTTATAAATAAAATAAACTAAAAAAATGTAATTAGTCTCCAATTCTAGATTTAAACCCGGATCTATCACATGACAGCCAAGTGTAGTCAGCTCCATGGTTACATTTAACATGTTATTTTCAATTGATTAAAATTAAATTAAGTTGATTTCATATAATTTTATTAAAATTTGTAAATATAGACCAAATAAAAATATAAATGCCATTATTTATCGGTTCTACTCGTATACAAGAATAACTCATTTTAATGTATATTTTATATATTAACAATTAGTCACTCAATAAAAATTAAAAAAAAAATAATAATAGCCGTGTGACCAAAATATGAACTGTGATTGGTGGATTTAATATTTGTGCAGTGTTCTTAGTAGGTAAAATTGATATGTAATATATTCGTATAGTTGAACCCAATGGCATACTTTTTTGTTTTGTAGTATGTCTGTATAATAGCTAATATCCATGTGGGTGTAGAAATAGTATATTACATAATGAGTGTGGAAAGTGACATTTTTCACAATAATGGGAAATATTTTCGCACGAGGTATAAATGTAGGTAAAACTGGCTATAAAGTATAAATGTGTAATTGGACAATGCAGTGGATGAATAACAACAGATCAAGAATATAAAGTATTTCGTACTATTACGCAGCACCCTGCAGTAGCCTGCGGCTATTATAGGAAACGTACAGATAAAAAAAGAAGTGGAATGTTACTCATCGCCCCACAGTTTGCTGCGGTCGTAATAAGTAAAAGTACAAGTAAAATAAGATAAAATAATCCAGAAATATCTGAAAATGTCAATACCCGTCAAGAATATTCTAGAGGACAGTTCGAGAAGGTTTGAGCAAGCTAAATAAGGATGATCTTGACGTCAGTTTTCAGTTTTTATGATAGACGTTACATGTTTATGTTATCAGTTGTAAAATTGTTGTTAAAGTTGAGTTAAAATAAATTGCGATACCAAAAACCTGTGTAACATTGGTGACAGCGGTGGGATATAGAGTAAAAGTTCATGGTAAATACTAGATCCTCTGAGTACAAAGCAGGCATGGATACTTCAGACCCACCAGCATGGTTTTTGAAGATGGAAGAGGAGAGAGTAAGGCGAGAGGAGGAAAAGGAAAAGAGTAGGAAGGAAGAATAGAAGGACAATCAAAGGTGCAGGAAGAAGGAAAAGAAAAGGCGTAGGAACGAAGAGGAGGAAGAAAAAGAAAGGCGTAGAAAAGCTGAGGTAGAAATTATGAATGGTTTGCTGCAAATTTAAGAAAACCTTAAGCAAGAGGCAGGTCAGCTAAACAGTCGAGTAGACCTCTTAACACAACAACAAGATAATTTAAAAGCCAATTTAGAACAGCAGCAAGAGAATCTAAAAACCAATTTACAGAACCTAAAAACGAATATAGAACAGCAACAAGAGAATCTAAAAACTAATTTAGAGCAACAACAAGAGAATTTAAAGACTAGTTTAAAACATCAACAAGAACAGGCTAGAATAGGGTTGAAAAGGCAAATTAGAGTTGAAATGGCCGAGTTAGAGAGAAGAATTCGTAGCCAAGCTTCCGTAAGCAACATTTAAGCTGAAAACACTGCTTCATCTTCATCTGTAACCAACCCAAGCCGTATACAAACCCCAGTCGTATTCAAACCCCAGTCTCACAAAATTATAGTAGCAAGATCCTGAAACCACCCACGTTTGACATTCAGACAACATAGGAAACATATCGACTCCAATTTGAAGCTGCAGCTAGAGCCAATGGCTGGGCCGAGAAAGAGATGGCGGCTTCATTGATAGTGTCACTGCAAGGTCAGGCAGCAACCGTTTTACAGTTACTTCCTCAAGAAGAACCCAGTTATTCATCCTTTGTCCAAGCTTTGGAGACAAGATATGGCCAGCAGCATTTAAAACAGGTATTCCAAAGCCAGTTAAAAGTTCGTAGTCAAAAACACAATGAGAGTCTACAAGAATTTGAAGCCGATATTAAAAGATTGCTGAATCTGGCCTAAACACAGGTACCTACAGATTTCTTAGAACAACTCGACATACAAGCATTCATTGATGGACTACAGGACGTCGAAATGCAGTAGGCTCTTCGACTACAACACCACAAGACATTGAGTGAGATACTTATTACAGCCCAGGAATACGAAGCAGCAAAAAATATATCTAAATCTTCTCGCGCAAAATTGAAAGAAATTCGATTTCAAGCAAGTGAAGAGGCCACTACTAATACTACCCCTCAACCTACCCTCTCACAGATCTTAAATATCCTGAAAAGTATGAAACGAAATAGCCAAAATGAAAGCAGAAGATGCTTCAATTATGGAAGAACTGGACACCAAAGAATTTGTCGAAGCAGGGCTCGTTCTATAAATCGAGAATCGGGGAATGATAGAAGAAATTCATCGAGATCAACCTCTCGAAGTTCATCACGAAGTCCATCAAGAAATAATTACAGCAGATATGCCTCCCGGAGAAGCCGGTCACCCACCGGCTTTCTAACAGTAGTCAGGGAAACGAACTTTAATAATAATAATAATAATAATAATAATAATAATAATAATAATAATAATAATAATAATAATAATAATAATAATAATAATAATAATAATAATAATAATAATAATAATAATAATAATAATAATAATAATAATAATAATAATAATAATAATAATAATAATAATAATAATAATAATAATAATAATAATAATAATAATAATAATAATAATAATAATAATAATAATAATAATAATAATAATAATAATAATAATAATAATAATAATAATAATAATAATAATAATAATAATAATAATAATAATAATAATAATAATAATAATAATAATAATAATAATAATAATAATAATAATAATAATAATAATAATAATAATAATAATAATAATAATAATAATAATAATAATAATAATAATAATAATAATAATAATAATAATAATAATAATAATAATAATAATAATAATAATAATAATAATAATAATAATAATAATAATAATAATAATAATAATAATAATAATAATAATAATAATAATAATAATAATAATAATAATAATAATAATAATAATAATAATAATAATAATAATAATAATAATAATAATAATAATAATAATAATAATAATAATAATAATAATAATAATAATAATAATAATAATAATAATAATAATAATAATAATAATAATAATAATAATAATAATAATAATAATAATAATAATAATAATAATAATAATAATAATAATAATAATAATAATAATAATAATAATAATAATAATAATAATAATAATAATAATAATAATAATAATAATAATAATAATAATAATAATAATAATAATAATAATAATAATAATAATAATAATAATAATAATAATAATAATAATAATAATAATAATAATAATAATAATAATAATAATAATAATAATAATAATAATAATAATAATAATAATAATAATAATAATAATAATAATAATAATAATAATAATAATAATAATAATAATAATAATAATAATAATAATAATAATAATAATAATAATAATAATAATAATAATAATAATAATAATAATAATAATAATAATAATAATAATAATAATAATAATAATAATAATAATAATAATAATAATAATAATAATAATAATAATAATAATAATAATAATAATAATAATAATAATAATAATAATAATAATAATAATAATAATAATAATAATAATAATAATAATAATAATAATAATAATAATAATAATAGTAATAATAATAATAATAATAATAATAATAATAATAATAATAATAATAATAATAATAATAATAATAATAATAATAATAATGATAATAATAATAATAATAATAATAATACTCTCCCTAATTCACCCCCTTACGAGTGAATTTTAACCCCAAAAGCTGAGCTTGTGCGGGGAAAGGGACGGCTATTATTATTATTTGCCGTGGCGCTCTGGGGCGACTTAAAGATGATTGATGGTGCCATTTGACTTATAGGTGAGGAAAACCCGGAAAACCTCACCCACCATCATCGAGACGGTAATGTATGGCGATTTTTTTTTACTCTGCATGTCATATCAACAGAAATTGAATTTCTATTAATACGGCACACATCAAATCCTATACCGAACCATGCAATTTAATTAAAAATCCACATGGTCTGGGATTCGAAGCCGAGCAGTCTCTGACACATAAACTTGCTTATAAATGAATATAAGCGCGTTAGACCGCTACACCACCAACACGATATGAATAAAGGTCGACACTACGGGGCAAGCGTCGGCTGTAACAGAGGGCCCCAAAATTTGCACTTACACCTTAAATAAAAACGAACAAAATCTATTGGTCAAGGGGTATATCGATAACCAAGAAGGCACCTTCGTCTTTGATACTGGTGCAACTAAGTCTTTCATTCGAACAGGGATCCTTCATCGAAAACCACGACCAACTCAAAGAAGCTTAGTTCTAGAAACAGCCACAGGGCACACTACTCCTGTTCTGGGCGAGATATCAGCAACCATACAGATTGGTAATACCCTGATAGAACACTTTTTTCTGGTGGCCGATATTAAAGATCAGTGTGTCCTTGGTATGGACATTATACAAAATAAGTTTATCACCGACTTTCAAAACAAGATCTTGGTAATTGGAAATAAGGAAATTGTCCAAAATTCGGAAGAAAGAACTCAA